GCATTGAACCATTTATTCATGTGGGAGAGTACTCTGTTTGATATTGCACAGAAATCATCAAACATTTTACTAGAGATTATAACACTTGTATCATCAGCAAATATTATGGGTTCTGATGAAAAATTTATTGTTGGTGGAAGGTCATTTATATATATTATGAAAAGCAAGGGTCCCAGGACAGATCCTTGGGGAACTCCATGCTTTACTGTTCTCCAGTTTGAGAAAAAATTTTGAGTATATTTGGGTAATTTTATCTCAACCTTTTGTTGTCTATTTGTTAGATAGGATTTGAACCATTTTAACACTGTTCCTCGAATGCCATAAAATTGCAGCTTACTTAACAAAATTTCATGATTTACACAGTCAAAAGCCTTTGCCAGATCACAGAAAATTCCTCCTACATGCCTTTTTTGGTCAATTGATTTTAAAACATTGTCTGTTAGCTTGAATGCTGCATCTTCAGTGGATACACCCTTCCTAAAGCCATACTGTTCTGGGACCAATATGTTGTTACAATGCATATGCTGATTTATCCTGCTGTACATGACCTTTTCAAGTATCTTAGAAAAAGTAGATAATAATGAAATCGGCCTATAGTTCGTCATACTGTACTTATCTCCTTTTTTGAACACTGGTTTTACTATTGAAATTTTTAGACGGTCTGGGAAAATGCCTGTGTATAATGAGTGATTACAAATGTGAGTTAAAGGGCAACTAATTAAATCAGAGCAAGCTTTCAGAATTTTGCTTGTTACTTCATCAAATCCTGATGAGTTCTTTGTTTTCATGGTGTGTATAATATTCTTTATCTCAGCTTCACTGGTTGGAATGATTTTAATACTAGGAAAATTTATGGGAAATGCATCTTTTAAAAATGAGAAAGCATTTTCACTTCCCATCTGATGTAAATTTAAGGTCTCAGCAACTGTTAGAAAAAATTTATTGAAGTCGTTGGCAACTATTTCTAGATCCTTTGCTTTCTCAGAAGAGATGGCATCTGTTCAGTTAAATGCATTTTTCCTGTCTCCCTTTTAATTATGTTCCATGTCATTTTTATTGTATTATCACTGTCTGTCTGTCTTTTCTGTGATGATACAAAATGACATTTTTAATTTTTGTAGAATGGATCTGTTTCCATCATCAGAGTGATGCTGCACTTTTACTTTGTATCTATGTGGTTTACTGCCCAAGAAGAGTACATCTGATGTAGTTACTATAAAAACTTCGCCTCCATCTTGAAATTACCTAATACACACAAAACCCTGTGTTCTGATCATTATTCACTTTCCATAAACTTGCTATTATTCAGAAAATAAACTGTCACTAATTCTGTTCTACATGTGCTTCTGACAAATCACTGAGCCACTAAAACCTTTATCTGTGAGGTGACTGTCTAGATAATGTGGAAACCTCAATGTCTCTCAACCCTATGGGCCTTCACAGCCTGTTACAGGAATAGCTTTACTTTTTTTACTGCCACCACATATCAAACTGAACTATACAAGCCCTTCATCACAAAACTGCATAATCACGAAATCATATGATCCAACACTGGCAAACTCAGCATCATTACGCTGCTGCTACATACAAATGTCATTCTGGGTATCTGTCAGATCCTGTTGGTCTGACTATGCAACATGCATGCAGATTTCATGTACCTTATGAAAATAAGAATGGGTATTATGATACTTACAGATTATGATACCAATATCAACATATTAAGTTTCTCTTAGCAGTTCCTTTGGCAATACTGTCAGTAATTCAGATTATACAGCATAAATTAACAGGTTCTGCATGTGTATAATACTGAATTGTAAGTGTAATTATGAACTGTATCAAAGAATGCAATAAATCTGATCACCTATCCAAAACCTGTCTACAGTCACTCATACATGTAACAATATGATAAAATAAATTTGTCATAAAATGTAAAAATGAACGTTCTGACATCAGTCTCAAAACATTTTAGGTAGCTTACATATTTAGTATTAATGAGACAGTGTAAAAAACTTATTTTGCTTTGTCTTCCTTCTTTTGTATTATTCTTTTACTACATCCTGCTGATCTTAGCCATGTGATCAAGGTGGCAATTAAAAAATAAAGTTGTTTGAATTATCGAAAATTCCTAATTAGTGAGGTATGACTGCACTATATTAACACATCAAAATTTAATATAATAGCTGGGGATTTAAAGCCTCTATTTCCAGACGATAGAGATTAAAACAGACATTGTCCCATGGCTTGCTTACCTCTCAGTCGGTACATCACTGGATGTGAGACTGGACTCCTCACTGCCCACACTATTGAGACTGTTGCAATTAGCCTCTCGTTGTCTGCGTTCCTCCCACTGCGCACGTACCTCATTCTGCACTCTGCGCTTCAACTCCTGGACTCGTTTTCGCTCCTCCTCAATTACTTGGCTTCCTACACCAGCAACATTAATTTATTTCAGTTACTGATAACAAAGTTTTATCAGATAAGAATAAAAATTAACTGTACTTTTTTAATTCATGTAAGTTTTAAAAAAATTATTTCAGTTATTGATAATTAAATTTTTTTACACAAGAATAAAAATTAACTGCAATCTTTAGCGCATACATTAAACACAGTTATTCAAGAGCAAAATAAGAATAATAAAAAGAAATCTGAAAGTCTAAAGCAATAGCATTTTCTGGACAGGCAATCTAATATATAAAAAATGCAACTTTCCTGTCAGGTTCTGCTGTTTGCTACAACAGAATTAATGGATAACACTGAACAAAATTACGAATTTTGCACCATACTCAAGCCAACACATATGGTAGACACATTTGTTAAAGTGATGCGCATGTCTCACAACAAAAGTCTGAGGATGTGATTGGCATCCTCATTCCAACCATTTTTTAATTAAATGAGCGCACTTTTGATTTCTCCATTTAGATGTTCTTTCTTCTTTGCAGTCTGTAAAGCTGAGGAGGAAAGCAATTATACCTTGGGCAAGCCACACACATCGCGTGAGATTGTGAGGCCACAGCTCATTTAAGATTTTGTCACCTGGGCCAGTTTTTTATGGAACCAAGTGACTTTTATGATGCCCCCATAAGCAGGGTCTTACACTTTATTAAAAGTGTAGGATTAATAAGGGGCTAATCCAAGGGGAAGCACAATAGATCATTGAAGGTCGCAGTGCGCGGGCTGGTTTTTATGGCCCACCCCTTACGTATATTACTTTACATTATTACGTTGGGCAAGGAATGGATGCTTCTGCTTATATACCCAAGTAAATGAGAGAACAGGTGAAAGTTGGCAGGAATGCTAACAGATCGCAGAAAATGAGTAGCATACCAGAATATGAAGAAAATTATAAATGCTGACATCAAAAGTCACATCGTAAGTTTGATAAATTAATGATAACTGTTCTCATTTATCAGATGTGATATTACCTTGCTGTGCAAGGTGGAGTTGACGATTTCTTTCAATTTCCTGAAGTGACTCCAATGTTCTTCGTCCCAGTGACCCAGTGCCTATCTCTATAGGTGCACCTGATGTTACTCGACTTATTCGGTCCAGATCATCTTGTGAAGACTGTTTCCTGTCAGAACCTGGAGTGGGTTGCTGGTTCTGTGGGGATCCTGCCAACTGAAACATATACACAATTTAAATGAACTAGTCTGATATTACAGTCAGTACAGCAACTGTGTTATGGGCCTGACAACCACAGTTCGATTCCCAGGAGCAATCTTCTCTTCTCCACTGCAGCAGCGAAGGCATGCACTAGCTAGAAGCAAACTGCTGTGTTGTGTGATGAAGCTAAAGTGGGAGAATAAGTGGATCAGAAGGAAGTTTATCATATTCGGAATATGACAATGAAAATGAATTAAATGATCGTGTTCTTCTTGATGCTGTGGTTAACAACGGCAGTGACAGATTCTAAAGGGTTCTGATGATGGTGGATGGCTCACAGAATTACTGGGGTTTTGGACTTTTTCCATTCGGAATTTTAGGTAATAAGAGGACACGTTTCGGAAAATGGATCTGTTTCCGTCTTCAGGTGAGAAAGGAAAGAGATAATCCAAAGATTGAGATTAGCTCTTTCTAAGGGGCCAAACTGAGTAGGTTTCATCCTTTCTCACCGAAGACGGAAACAGATTCAGTTTCCGAAACATCATTTCCTCTATTACCTAAAATTCCGGACAATGGAAAAAGTCCAAAACCGCAGTAATTTTGAATGGTGGTGATGAAGATGACAATATTACACAAGACTTTGTTTGGGAAAACATGGACAACTATAAGGGACAAAAATTTCATGGGCAGTGTTGGACTTCAAGAGGCTGCAAAACAGGTGACAGAAATTTTGAGCATTTTTTAATTATCTTCCTGTAGAAAATTAACAGACATGATTGTCAAAGAAACAACAGATACACAGAGCAGTTTCTATGTGGGCATCAATTATAAATCAGGTTGCCTGATAGGTCGTGGAAATCTGTGACAAGGTGAAATTTAAGTTGTACTGGGTCTGTTTATGCTGATGGACATTATTCAGAAACCTACTCTCAAGTCGTATTTTACCACAGAGTAATTTCAACATTGGGATTTGGAGACATAATATGAGATAGATTGGAGTTAATGCATAGAATTTTGCATTTCACTAACAATGAAACCATCAGTAATTTTGAAGGACTGAACAAACTTTTCAAAATTATCCCAGTAACTTCACGGCTGACTAACGAATTTCAGGAACCGTATCTCCCAAATCAGAAAATTCATCTGATGAATCACCAACCCTTTCTTTCAAATAGTATCTGCCTCTCAAGGTATTCAAATATACAATTACAAATTGAGATCTGCAACAGTCCCACATGGCACTTACAGTCCCTCTGTGTATATACAGGCAAGGATACAAAACTTGACTCTCTCTTTATCACAGCTCACACCAATGAAACAACAGCCACTGTTCTAAAACTGGCAGAACCTCTACTGTAACAATGCCAGACTGTATGGATGGATAGTTTCTATAATTCACCATCCTTAGTCAAGACATTGAAATTCATACACAAGACAGTGATGGAAAACTGAAACTGACCCAGAAGAATATGCCTATAAAAGTGAAAAACGCAAAACTAAAGAACATATTACTGTCACAAAATGGAGTGAGAAAAAAACTGTGACTATGATTTCTGCACATCAGTAATGACACTAGGACTGTTACAATTAGAGGCAAGGAAGCAGTCAAACCCATTTCAGTATTTGATTACAATCAATCAACAAAAGGTGCTGATTTGAAAAACAAACCACTTCATTCTTATTTGATCAAAAAAAGTAAATGAATAAATGGTATTTCACTACCCTTGAATACCTCAATTCTGAATGCAATCGTAATAGTCGTATATAGGAATAGCACTGAGAAAGGAACTGCTCAGCTTGCATTGAGAATTCAGTTAGTTGTGGGACTGTTTGTGAAGTATGCTAACACTGTAGATCACAAAGTGCCAAGGTGACATTCGTCACAAAACACAGTGTGCCATCTAAGGCAAAACTATCCCTGTAACAGGCTGTGAAGGCCCATAGGGGTGTAAGAGGTCGAGACTCCCACATCTTCTAGACATTCAGCTCACTGATGGCGGTAAGGTTGTCGTCAGCCTTACGTGCCTGCCACTCTTTACCCCCCCCCCACACACAGGAATCTTCCTGGTATTCATTTCCGTTACAGGCGGAGTCAACACCAGGGCCATATTGCAGCTGGAATGATCATGTAAATTGAAAAAATTCAATTACCTCATCAGGAATCAAACATTTGACCTTCTGGCTTGTACCACAGTGCTTCAACCAATTACACTACTGCATGCTCTGTCTTAACAGAAAGACGTTTTATAAGCAAACTTCCACCAACGGAGAACAAACCATGACCATGGAGGCAGTGTGCTGTTTGTCAGAAGTCCATGAAGAGGAAGGACACTGCATACTGGCGATGCGTTTCAAGTTAGATTCATGGGTGGAATGTTTTTTTCATCTGTCACACCAAGCTCAATATCTAAGGTAATACAATACAATTAATCATAATTTCTATCAATTTACTGTGCCAAAAATAATTTGAAAACAGTGTGGACCAATACTCTGATTTAGTTTTCCGAACATACTGTGAAAATTATATAAAAAAAAATAATTCCAGATCTTCTGTTCCCAGGAGTGAGTAGGAATCAAACGTTCTGTGCTGTTGAAAGGTTAATTAATTAAGCCCAGGGACAAATTCACTTTTATACTGCTTTCATAATTACCTTCTTAAACACCTGTATTCATGTTCACTTATATATCTGTTATTTATGTTTTCTTTATACAAACCTCTTCTGCATCAGAAGAGCCTTCAGGACTACTGAAATCCTGGCCTGAAACTGCTCCTGTCTGCCCTGACGTGAGTTCTGCTAACTGCGCTTCCAAGGCCCTTTGTCTGTTTCGACCCTGAAAGATGGTGAAAGCAACATTAATACTGTTGTAACCAAGTACAGCGTAAACATTCTTTCTGAAACATGAACATGCAGAGTTACATTCAAGTCGTAATCAAAGCTTTCTTTTTCAGTGAAAAATCATTCTACACACATGAAAACATGATATGTCACATAACAGATATTCATGAAGATGTGATATTACTTCTAAAAGTAAAAGTAAAGCTATCCCTGTACCAGGCTATGAGGCCCATAGGGTTGTGAAACGCTGAGGTTCCCACATTATCTAGACAATCGGCTCAAAGATGGCGGTAAGGTTGTCAGCATTACGCGCCGGCTGCGCTTTACTCCCCAGGAAAATTATTTAATTAATTCCTGGTACTCATTTCTGTTAGAGGCTGAGTCGACCCCAGGGCCATAGTGTGGCTGGAAGGATCAGGTCAATTGAAAAAATCCAATGACCTCATCGGGACTTGAACCTGCAACCTTCCGGCTTGTGTATTATTTATTGAAGAATGTGCTAGTATTGTAGAAAGCTACTGACCAAAAAATAAAGAATACCATATGTATGTGTTCTTCTATTATTCACGTAGGGAGACAGGATAGCACAGTCGGTATAGCGCCTGGCTACGGGCTGGGCAACTGAGGGGTCAGAGTGAGTCCCAGAAGGGCCAAGAATTTTCTCTTCTCCATATCATCCAGACTGCCTCTCAGGCCAACCCAGACTCGTATCCAGTGGGTACTGGGGACTCTTGCACTGGGGTTAAAACATCCTAGGCATGAAGCTGACCACTCCCCTCAAACTAGTGCCGAGGTCAAGATAATGTGGATCTATACCTCCACTCAAATATACGTCTTCATGGCCTAGTGCTTAATTAGTTAACCACAGGGTGAACTTTACCTTTACTTTTTTATTATTCATGTAACAAATAGTATTACTATCAAAGTACTTTTTTTTGCGTAAATTTGTTTTATGTTCTGATGCCATTCATTATCATCTTGTTATCTTACAATAATTAAAAAATACTGTATTTGATGCTGAATTATAACAAATATTGGAATTATTAATAATTCTTGTGTTATGGCCCAGTTCAGTATTCTGCTGTCAAAGAGATTAAGCACAACAAGAACAATTATTTAAAATTTACTTTTACTGTTATTCATAAACATAACATTTCATTATAAATTATCTTAGTTATCATAATGGATGAAACATTTTTCGCTTAATGGAGGGTGGAGTCCAACTGGGTCCGCTCGGCATGACGGCCACTGATTGGCCTATTGTACCTGCCCCAGGTGATTATGATGGAGAATTTGATGGCATGAAGATTGGCAGGAAAAACTGAAGTACTAGGAGAAAACCCGCCCCAATACCACTTTGTCCACAACAAATCCCACTTGACCAGAACCGGGATCGAACCCGGGTCGCCGTGATGGGAAGCCAGCGACTAACTGCTTGAGTTATGGCGCAGCCTATGGATGAAACATAGTAATTTTCAACATTCTTCCACTTCAGAATGTATTTCAGTAACAAGATTTGAGGTTATCATTGTGGTCAAAATTGACATTGTGGTGATATGGGCTATGACAACATGTAGTAATGTTTCGCATTGATACCAACCTACCAAACTGCATGCCATCATTACCCAGAAGACCATACTCTAAAATAACATTTTCTTTTTGAGTGTATGCTATTTCTGCATACATAAAAATGTTGCAGCACTATCCCACCAATTCACTGATCCCCCAAATTTTTCTACCAAATGTTGTTTCAAATTGGTGGAACAAATACTCTTGCACTGAGGTGCTCCCTGATTCTAACCTTGGTCAAGAAACCACTTATCCTGACTGAGGTTTTCTTCATACCTCTTAGGAAAATTCTCAAACAGTACCTCAAATGAGGTATGACCACTTCCTTCCACATCCTTCCCATCTGACCACTCACTGGTCATCTCATCATTCAACAGCACAGCACTTCAACTATAGTAAATACTGTTAAATAAAAATAAATGTCACCTCTTCCAGTCTACGCAGGTAGTTGAGAAGCTGTCTCTCCATAGCACAGCTCTCCTCCTGTGCTGACTGTGCTGCCTCTGACCTCTGCTGTTCCAGTTCCCTCAATCGCAGGCCACGTGACTCCACTCTAGATGCCATGTCTACCAGTTCCCGTTGCAGCTCCTCACGACCTGCAAGCCATCCTGCCTCCTCCTCTAACTGTCTGAATTCCAAGTCTTCAAATGCCTTCAAAAGATATATAAGCATTAATTTATACCAACAATATGTTTAAGGTACTCTCATTTATCAACTTTTTGGATATAAATATATATGTGATACACGTACATCCATCCAGCCACATCATAATTTTGTCCCCATAAATAAAGTCCTACATTTCATTCAAAATGTAGGATTAATAAAGGGTTAATCCAAAGGGGAAGCATAATAGATCATTGAAGGTCATGGTGTGAGGGCTGGTTTTTATGGTTCACCCCTCATACTCATAGCATATTTTATTTTTATAGCTCAGTCAGTATAGAAACAGGTTACAGGCAGGATGGCCAGGGATGGATTCATGACAGGGATAAGAGATTTTTCTCAACAGCACAGCATCAAGACCCAGACTCCCATCCAATGGGTAATGGGACTCTTTCCCTGGGGAAAAAGTGACCAGGGCATGAAGCTGACCACTGACCTCCATCCAGTGCTGAGGTCAAGAATGGTGCATCTACACCTCCACTCTCAACATCTTCATGGTGTGGTATTTAATTAAGTACTGGTACAGCTTTACCTTGGGGGCACGCTATGCTACAAGCCGGAAGGTTGCGGGTTCAAGTCCCGATGAGGTCATTGGATTTTTTCAGTTGACCTAATCCTTCCAGCTGCACTAGGCCCTGGGGTTTACTCAGCCTCTAACAGAACTGAGTACCAGGAATTTATTAAATAATTTTCCTGGGGAGTAAAGTGCGGCCAGCGCATAAGGCTGACAACCTTACCGCCATCTGTGAGCCGATTGTCTAGACAATGTGGGACCCTCAACGTCTCACAACCTTATGGGCCTTCACGGCCTGGTACGGATATAGTTTTACTTTACTTTTTTTTTTACAGCTTTACCTTTATCTTTAGCACTGTTCACAACCCATTACTAGTGGAAATACACATCACAGATGGAGGGTTTTAAGTTTTCACAACAGTGGTTATGAAGAGTTCTATCTTCCAGGATAAAATGCCATAAAGTCTGTCTAAAAATCAGCCTATGTTTTGGAAGAACACGTCATCCTCATCATCCAGGTTGAAGAATAAGCCAAGCATGGAATGAAAATGAAGCAGGTAGAAAGCAGAGCAAGCTCCAGTTTCTAACCACTTGACTTTCAGCTGACTACATGGCATTACATCCCAGAAAATAGGACTCCTGACATCTCATAAAGATTTAGAAGGCCCAAATTCATAAAACTATATGAATAAGAAATAAAATTTCATGGTAAAAAAAAAATGCAACTAATCTTGTAATACCTTCCTCTCAGCTTCAAGAATCTCATGTTGCTGTTTCAGTTTCTCTGTGAGCTCTCTATGTCGTTCGGTGTTTCCTGATGCTGCACATTTAGAAGCTTCCTGCTCCAAGCTACAACATAAAATAATATACTGTACACCAGTTTTCAAAATACATTCTAAGTTTGTAAAATATCTTTACATATCTATATAAAGGTTAGTATGTGACATCTGTAACTGTATAAATCAGGCCATCAGCTGTGTGAATATAGAGTTAATAGATTTCAAACACTCACTCCAGCTCCATCATCAGGGGTTGTTTGAAACAAGTGTCATGGCTCCACACTGTACTTATATTCAGAGGCTATGCTCCCGACTTTCCCAGCATGGACCACTTAGAGAATAGTTGGCCCAGTCAATCAGTGGTTCTGTCTGAACATGGCCTGATGAGCAAACAGTGGGTATGGACATTTCCGGAGAAACATTCTGCCTCCAACTTCAGCGCAGAAGGCACTTCTTTGTTAAATATCCAGACTCAGCAAACAGTAAATACTAAATGCTGTTAGATGTTTTCACAGATGATGATGATTTAGAGTGTTATCTTCTGGGTTATGGCACCGTGTAGTCTGGTAGATAGTTACCATCGTTTCAGGAGAACCTTTTGCCTATATCATCATCGTGGAAGACACTGGACATGCACGGCAGAGTTGCCTTCACAAATTTATGTAGAAGGCACTTTGACATTGATGATGATGGTAACAGGTTCCTGTGAAATGTCTGTAACCATTTACAGACTACAAAGTGTCATGACCCAGAAGGTAACAATATGATTCACATTTTTTACCAAAAGGGTTTAGTAACTGCAAAAAAATCTAACCAGTGTCAAAGATAATCCACAGAGAAAACCCTTACCTGTGTATTTCTCTCTCTGTGACCTCAAGCCTCCACTTGGCCTCAGCTTGTCTCTGAAGTTCTCTAGCATGACACTGCTCCATTTCCTCATCCAGGCTTGCCACCCTTTCCCTTAATACTGATAATCTTTCCTCTTCTTGCAACAGTTTTTCACCTTGGGCTTGCCATTCACCCTCAAGAAGGGCTCGCTCCATGTCCAACTAAAACACAAAATTAAACTAGGAGGGTAAGTCAATAAGTAAGTTACAAATGGATACAGAACTTGAACAAATAAGAGTACTGATTTGAAAATGCTTTTATTTCTCAACATAATCTCCCTGTACATTGAGGCACTTGTCCCATTGTTTCACAAGCCCCTGAAAACCAGCAGCATAAAATTCTTTGGGCTGCTGTCAGAACCAGGTGGTGACTTGCCTTTCTACAACTTCATTATCAGGAAAATGTTCAGCCGAAATTTAAGAGGGCCGAACAAATGGAAGTCGCTTGGAGCAAGGTCAGGGCTATATGGAGGCTGCTTGAGGACTTCCCACTTGAAATTTCGTAGCGTCTCATTTGTCTTGCTGGCAGCATGTGGACGCACGTTGTCATGCAAGAGCAACACACCTTTGGTGAGGAGTCCTGGTCGCTTCCATTGGATGGCTTTTTGAAGTTTTCTGAGGATGTTACAGTAGGACTCAGCATTTATGGTTTGTCCTTGAGGCTGGAATGTGGTGAGCAGTATGCCTTCATGATCCCAGTCACCGCCTGGTTCCGACAGCAGCCTAAATAATTTTATGCTGCTGGTTTTCAGGGGCTTGTGAAAAGATGGGACAAGTGCCTCAATGTACACGAAGATTATGTTGAGAAATAAAGGCATTTTTCAAATCAGTACTCTTATTTGTTTAAGTTCTATATCCATTTGTAACTTACTTATTGACTTACCTACATACGAGGGGGGACCCAAAAATAACCGGAAACGACCTGTTGCGTGCACATGCTTTGTAGTTACGAGTTGTACTGCTAGGTGGTGTTAGCTGGGGGTCTCCCGCGACTGTTAGTGAGCTGGCGTCAGTCTGAGTTAAGTGGTTTGTCTGTGGTGCTCTGTTGTGTGCGTTCCTGTTTCAACCCTTTGGCGATTAGTGAGATGGCCGACCAGAAGGAACAGAGAGTGTGCGTGAAATTGATGAAGATCGTCGAAAGACCACTGACCAACTTTCTGAGGAAACGAACATCTCATGGAGCACGGTCCAGCGAATTTTAACCGAAGGTTTGCACATGAGACGGGTGTCTGCAAAATTTGTTCCTCGCTTGCTCGGAGATGACCAAAGAGAAAACCGCGTGAATGTTTGCCGCGACTTGAAGAGTGAAGTGCAGTTTTCCCTAACAGAAAGCAAAATTTCACGCACACTCTTTGTTCCTTCTGGTCGGCCATCTCACTAATCGCCAAAGGGTTGAAACAGGAACGCACACAACAGAGCACCACAGACAAACCACTTAACTCAGACTGACGCCAGCTCACTAACAGTCGTGGGAGACCCCAGCTAACACCACCTAGCAGCACAACTCATAACTACAAAGCATGCGCGTGCAACAGGTCGTTTCCGGTTATTTTTGGGTCCCCCTTCGTATATCTCATATACCAGTATATCTAAAAATTCAACACTCTCACCAATTTCCTGTTTCTTACCACAGACTTCGGGCATAGGGAACACCCAAAGGTACTACACCATATTTACTCCATAGCCTTATGCACTGAGAATGTTCGAGAGAAAAATAATACGCAAAATATAGGAACCAGTGATGGAAAATAATATATGGAGGGTAAGATATAGTGAAGAGATAAACACGTTACTGAAAGGAGAAGATACAGTAAGATTAATCAATTCACAGAGAATAAGATGGTTGGGGAATGTTGAAAGAATGAAAGATAATGCAATGCCAAAGAGAATGTTAAAAGGAAGGCTATTCCAAAAGAAGAAAGGAAGGCCCAGGATGAGATCGCCAGATGATGAAGGTGAAAGGATGGAAAGAGAAGATGAGGAATACAGAGCAGTGGAGACTGGCTGTAGAGGAGGCAAAGGCTCACCCAGGGGTGTAGTGTCGAGAGACAGTGTAAGGTACTCCAGGGCCTTGTCAGTACAATCAGTATCCATAACTGCTTCAGTGGTGCACAAATATTGTGGTAGAAATTCTGAATATGATTGAAATCATCATTCTCACTCTTACTTCAGATTACATGAGCTCGCTAGATCATTCAGTTTTAGTACTAGTCCTATCTTCAAAAATATAACAACATGTAGTCTGCTGAAAATCAACTGAAACTTCAGAGAGGCATGTCACCTCCATCTTCAGGGTCAAAGACCAGATCAAGTAAAACACTACCATGAAGCAGGTAGCGGGCAGAGCAAAAAGACTATATAGCTCTTCAAAACCACTGCTGTAAGATCCTCAGATCCAACATAATTTGAGTATTATTTCTTCTTTAAACTTTTAGCTACAATATATTGTGGTGATTCGTCTCTGATCTTTACTATCCATGTTTCACGACTGTAGCTGAGTGCGTCAGATACGGCATTCCGCTCCTAAAAAAATGGTGAGTCATACCTCACGAAGAAGCTCTTCTTCCTGCTGCTCAATGTCAGCCACCTTCCTCTTCAACCCTGACATTGTTGCCAATAGTTTGCCTCTCTCCCTTCGCAGCTGCTCTACATCTCCACAACCCTGTAAAACAAAGATTTGATTAAGAAGATGTTATGAAGAAAATGAGTGTCCCCAGTAGACATTTATTTATATAAGAAACCAGCTTAAATCATAGAAAATAATGGACAAAAAAATTAAATTTGCAGACATCACTTGTGCATATGGACATAATACTATTCATTTCTCCTGACTTTTGTTTTTAAGGGGGCATTAACCTGCAATGCTATAAAAATCACACATTCTACTAAACTTTGCCTCATAAATCAGGTTTTCATGCTACCTTCACAAAAATTTGCATACCTATTCAATAATGTCTAGTCTTTTGATATACCATATCCAGAATTATAATCTGTAATTGTTAATAAATTGTTATAAATAATTTAAGACATTACGATAAACAATGTACCTTTTCTCATTAACTACTAATTATCCAGGTCTGAAACTTTTTTTTTTACATTTAGAAAACAAGGAGACTTAAAAAGTGAATCATTTAGAAATTGCATCTTTCCTCTCCTTCGAATTTTTTTTAAACAAATTATATAATTTTCTAATTAATTTTCTATTGTTATTATTTTTTAAAAAAGTTTTCCCCAAAATTACATTTATAAATGATTCAGATTCTTCTAGTATACATGACAGTGAACCACAAAAAATTTCAAGTCAATAGGTTGATTAGTTTCTGAGAAAAGGTACATTATATCAGTAAAACTGAAGTTTGTGGGGAAAAAACAAAAATGCTGCATTTTCATACTATAATTCTGTATTTTGGCCTTTCTTTGATACAATTAGTGTTCTCCTTCTCCATAAATCTGCCTCCTTTTGCTTCTTTTCATCATCTTGACCTCTAGTTGCCTTTCTTTTCTTTCTTCTCTCTTGTTGGGCACTGCTTTTTGTCCTGTAATCTGCTTGCAGAATTCTCGCTTCATCCAGTTTCTGCAATGTTGTAACACACCAAACACCAGGAACAATTTCCATCTTTGTAAGTTTTGAGCAGCTACTGCTCTCCGCAGCTATTCAACTGCTCTGAAGATGGAGGCGCTACGTTCCTCCGAAACGTCGGCCAAAACGAAGAATACACGGTGCCTAAACCCAGAAGACAACTTTCTTAATTTCCATCTTGTTTAGAACTTTTGCCCTTGCAATATTTCCATCACTGAATCAAGCTACAGCATCAACAGCTGTCTCAACTGTAAACATGGATGCAAAACCTGTCTTAAGGCATTGCTGCCAAATAATACCATTGAGTGACTCAATTACATTTTGTGTTTTGGAAACATGTCCACACCACATTCACGTACCATCCGCAGTCACAACAATACCACCCTCACCATCATATACAACTTTACATTCTGCAGAAGCCCTCTTCATACTGTCTTCTGCTACTTCACACACAGTATCATGAACTATCTTACTGTAGCATTCAAAATTTGCTACTGGTGGAGGCATGTTCATGATGGCCCTTTCTTATACATCTTAATGCATATACTGATCTAAGATTAACTTCATACTGTCCATTTTCTGAAGTGAGAGAAGTAAAATAGTTCTTATTCAGTCCACATGATGTACAAGATAGAACTAACTTTGAAGCCCAACCTCTATGACACTGTACAACTTCCCTGATTTTTAATTGACCAGTTTTACACTCAGAACACACACTATTTTCTAAATTATAGTTAATTATTGCCATAGAAACAAGCCTGTAACCCTATAAGTCTTTCAAATTTTCACTTTCGTATGATACAAAAATGTCTTCTAATTTGCTTGAACTGGCACCAACATTACTAACCTCATTCTCATCTATATTTACATTAAAACTATTTTCTTCGGAGTTTCCACTATCACAAACATTTATGGTACTTCTCTTCGGTATATTACCACAGAATTTCCCTTTTTTAGACCAACGAGATTCACCACGTCGCATTTTGAAAAAGATAATACAACGTTCACAAATAAATCTTTGAACAACCACAAGGAGGGAAATATTTGTAAATAATGCGGAAATAGCCTTCACTTCTTTTCCAGACAGGCAAACCGCCAGACTAGCCAACATACAACACAAAACCCGCTAATTATAAATAGCCAAATCATTTCAAAACAGAAAAAAAATATTATGATGTTGCAGAAGTCGTGGCTTCCTCGAACAGGCATTTACATACCTGGTAAGCTGCACTTTAAATGCTTCGGAGGTGGGGTAAAATTTGGAATTTCGCGGGAAAAAATTACAGGACGATTGTAAAAAAAAAAAAAAAAATTCCAATTTTTAAAGATGTTAATGCCCCCTAAAACTAAGATGGCAGTAGTAACAACAACAACACTCTCCTCATCCTCATAATTACAGTGTCAGGCAATCAAGTCTCTTCCATCTTAGACAGAATTCATATTTCCAACTTGTCCTAGCCCTTATTATACAATTCTTTTTTTCGTTCATAATATTGTAACATGTTTAGAGTAGGTACTTCCATGGCAACGCAATAATAGTGAGCTGCTGTGGAGAGAAGGCTGAAACAACGAAGCAGCGTTTCCCCGGAGATGGACAACAGAAGGGTCATTGCGTAACAACGGACTGTTGGAACAGCGGGAACAGAACCATGCTGAATGGTATCTGGTATTCGGTCCACTGGCAAGGGCCAGCAGCATATACAAAAGACAGACCCGTCCTCTCATCAGAGAAGGTGCCTCACAGAAACAAGACCATAACTGTCAAACAGTAATAATTAATATCTGGTCATGAGCCCCATCGTCTTACTGACTGACTGACCGTCAATCGCAATGTAACTTTGACTCTGACATATGAACGAGATACAGTTGAGATCCAGCCACAGTCAGAGACACTTGGAAGATAGCCACAGCAGAGTGCAGTAGAAGGGATATTGATTGTATTCCTGACTCTTTAAGTGTGTGTGTGGATGAATGAGTTCAATAATCATTGAATCCGAAGGCTACGTGAATTTATTTGTCATGTGACATACCCAACATGTGACAATATAATACCATCTTTCAGAGTTCACTTTCATCCCTTCTTAAAACATGGGCCACATATCCTCTGGAATTTATTCAGCATCTTATTTATATCTTAATTCTGAGAATAGGATACTGCTGCCTAAATAAATAAATTAACATTTATGTTCTTTTCCTCTTTATGTTCCTGCTGGTTAGATTCACCATTTCTAGTTGCTTATCCTTAATCAGAGCTCTGGGTGTTAGGAGAATTCCTCTAAACAAAGAATCTCAATACTTAGAATGTCCTTGGCTGCATTACAGGCAGCAGGCAAGGTTTAACCAGCGATAAGCCTGCCATTTCAAAGCTTCTAGCCCAGCTCCTCTGTGTACCAATCTGATACAGAGAGTTGCTCCTCCCGCTTGCCTTGCCATGCAGTTTTGAGTTGTACACAATCCATACCAACTAAGAGACTGCTGAAAGCTTGCAGAGAACCACATTACACCCTGAGACAAGGCAACACTCCTGCAGCTCAGAGGCACTCAATCTTACCTAGGGCCGAATTGATAACTTTGTATGGAACCAATGCTAGATTTCTGATGTTTTAAATGTAACTTTAAATAAAGCCTCATATAAAATGCAACATACTTCACAATTCTTGAAACAATACAATAACACTCCACAGTTCACATTCACATCTGTATACAGGAGCAGGAAGTAATATGGCAGAGGCCAAAAATGTCAGAGCTGCCTTCAGGTGGCCCACTTCTGACAGCATTACATTTGTCAACATACTATCTTAACTTCAATCACACAGATATAATATAAAAGAAGTAAAAGAAATTGCAAAAGAAACTAATCTTTCAGACAATAATGTAAGTGAACCAATAGAAATCGGAAAAGGTAATTGCAGTCTACTAAATTCAATGAATAATAAAGTACTAAGAATATTCCATCAGAATATAAGAGGATTGAGAAACAAAACAAATGAACTAATAAGCTCCATGAATTCAAATCTTCCACACATACTGTGCCTTACTGAACATCACATGAAACAGCTGGAATTAGAACATCTTCACTTAGAAAATTATAATTTAGGTGCTAGATACTGTAGGAAAACACTGGAGAAAGGAGGAGTGAGTATTTTTGTACA